TTTACAGATGCTAAACTCAATGGGTATATCCATGTAAATGGTTGTTAAATAAGAAAGCTGCAGCCCAGAGGTCCAATGTAAGAATGTTAGAGCTGTGCAGTCTCAGTAAGAGTGGAGAGGAGACGGCACAACCTGTGCCCCAAGGAGTGCACTTGAGAGGGAAAAAAAGAGACATGAAGAGGTGTACATCTGGGAGCAGTGATTGTTGGCTTCGTGCAGTCACTGTAAGAGGTCAGTTTTACAATAATTTGTTTAAGAAATTAGTATGTTTCATGGAAGGTTATAAAACATTTCCTAATGAGACTGAAAAGAGCCATAGACGAATATACTATAGTTAATTCTGTAAAATGGATATAGCATTACTCATTCAATAAACTCTAAGGTCCATTTTATACTTGTGATATTATTCTATTCAGTTTTTGCATATAATTTTACAGGTCAGGCCTTTGGTTAAATACAGGAAATTACTTGCAATGATACTTCTTTAAAAGTGTTGCCCTTTGTGGTTCTGTAACCATGGTTATATGTTCTCAACTACATATCCAGGGGTTACCATTAAAATACAACACTATCACTTTCCTCACCATTAATTACACCATAGGTAATAATGTGAATTCTGGTTGATGTTTTATTAAGCATAGTTAATTACGATAATGCAACAGTAGAGGAAAGAACAAATATACATGTAAAGAAATTTTAAATTTAAGGTTTAAATGTTAACTGACACACCAAAGTACATCTCATATCCTAAATATAGCTAGCAGTGTTTTTGAGTTACTGGACAGTATTGGCTGAATCTAATTCCTAGTCAAAGGGGAGTTTGTAGGAGGATTTGTCTTGCCACAACCCTTCTCCAGGCACCTGCCCCTGCTGGGGCTATGTACTCTGTTGCATAACGGAGGGCTGACTTAAGTCCTACATATCTGTATAAAAAGGGCAACTTAACACTGACATGTGGACCATAATAACATTTCAGAAAATCCTGACCTGCATGCTGAAATTTTGCACCATAATATTATGTTAATATAAATCTCAGTATTCTTAAAAGATGAAAGCAAGGTGATGAGATTGCATGGGGCATAGGTAGATAAATGAATTCATAACTACACCATCTACAAAAATCCTTCTAGCACAGCAATGTTTTTTCTATTGCTCATCTTTATCTTTCACATACCATACACCCGTACCCTATAAGACACGCACCTTAATTCAGGAAGGTGGAATGAACGAATAAAGATTTTTCCTTAACAAAACAATGGGGGAATGGGCAGAATCTTTCTTGCCATTGAAAGGGCGGTAGGCTCTGGCCTTGCAAAGCGGAGGCAGAGTCTTCTCATTAGCTTCACATCCCATTCCCCATGCAAGAAATGGTTGCATGGTTGCTTTTTGATGAACCAAAAAAAAAAAAAA